GGTCGCTGTACACGGAGCTGTCGAAGCCGGGCGACAGCATCTTCCAGCAGCGCACGATGCGGAACTGGTAGCCCTCGCCGCAGGTGCGCGAGCACTCGCTCCAGCTGCTGGTCTCCCACCTGCTCGGAGGGGCGGTCCTCGGTGACCCCAACTTCCTCCCCCCGACCCCCCACCTCCCCGTGCAACCCCACACCCCAAGAAAATGCGCCCCCTGCTTGCTCCCTGCGTGGTCCCAAACCGCAAGGGCCAAGCCAGATAGGACACAGGCGGGGCCCACGGTGGAGCTGCTGCCTGGGGACCCCGAGCTGGGGAAACACCTAAGTGGGGTGCGGGTGGGCACCTGAAGCGGGCGTTTGGCCTGCCTGGGGGCTGCCTCTACCTGCTCTCACCCACCTGGCCTTCCGCTAGGTGTGTGGGAGCGGGCGGGGCTACATGTGTGAGAGGGGGGCGGGGCGTGTGCGTGGGAGCAGAGACCCCAAGGGGTGGGAGCAGAGACCCCCAGGGGTGGGGAGCAGAGACCCCCAGGGGTGGGGAGCAGAGACTCCCCAGGGGTGGGGAGCAGAGACTCCCCAGGGGTGGGGAGCAGAGACCCCCAGGGGTGGGGCGCAGGCCAGGAGAAAAGGGGTGTGGCAGTCAGGGACAAGGCCAGTGTGCTGGTCCTACACTGACGGTGACAGCAGGCTGGTACCTCGGGCTCATCTGGGCCCCTGCTCCAGCTCCCGCCTGGAGCGTGGCTGGGAGGAGGGCACGGCCAGGTCTCAATCTCTGACCATCGAGGAGGCAGGACAGGAGGCCTGGGGGCTAGAAGGACGGGACCTCCCCCTCATCACAGGGAATTTGAGGCATAGTCCCTCCGGGCTCACAAAGCCCCAGGTGCACCAGGAAGCCTGGGCAGGTGTCACCTGGGGCAGAGTAACCTTCAGAAAGGTTCCTCCAGCTGCTGAGAAAGGCACTGATTGAGCACCTACTGTGTGCAAAGCACTGTGACAGAGGACACTGCGGACGCAGAGGGACTGTGGCAGGCAGGTCAGTGCAGCCCCTCCCCGCCGGCCCCGCCCACAGAGCCCCCTGGAAGGAGCAGGATTCGGACTCCTCCGCTCCTCTGGGCAGAGCCGGGCCCCCACCCCAACACACACCCTGCGGGGGCTCTGGGGCAGTACCTGGGCTGGCACTCCCTCCCAGCACAGAACTCCTGGACTGGCTCCGGGCGGGTCAGGGCGTCGCAGTAGTTGTCCTCCACCTGGATGCCGTCGTAGCGCAGGCACGTGGCATAGGTGGACATGACCCCTGGGTTCAGGAACGGGAAGGCCTGTGAGCCACAGGTGCGCACCTGGAGACCACCTGGCTGCTCAGAGCCCAGACGCCTGGTTTACAGCGACGACAGGACAGTCACCAGCTTACAGACCTATGACAGGAGAGCTCAGCGAAGACAGCTTTGTGGATTCGACTCTCTCTGCCTGTGTCCCAGGGTCTGACTTCTTCTCTGTACCCCCCACCCCCCACCCAGGCTGGGCACCCAGTTCATGTGTCACAAACCCTGGGCTTTGCATAAACTCAAAGTGGCCTCTATAAAGGCACAGGCAGCCGGGTGTCACTGATTTCCATTCATGCAACAACTACCCACCTATGGGTGAGTGGGTGGGTGAATGGGTGAGTAGGTTGGTGGATGGATGGATGGATAGGTTGTTGGGTGAGTAGATGGATAGATAGGTTGGTGGACAGATGGATAAGTTGGTGGATAGATGGATGGATGGATGGATGGATGGATAGGTTGTTGGGTGAGTAGATGGATAGATAGGTTGGTGGACAGATGGATAAGTTGGTGGATAGATGGATGGACGGATGGATGGATGGATAGGTTGTTGGGTGAGTAGATGGATAGATAGGTTGGTGGACAGATGGATAAGTTGGTGGATAGATGGATGGACGGATGGATGGATGGATAGGTTGTTGGGTGAGTAGATGGATAGATAGGTTGGTGGACAGATGGATAAGTTGGTGGATAGATGGATGGACGGATGGATGGATGGATAGGTTGTTGGGTGAGTAGATGGATAGATAGGTTGGTGGACAGATGGATAAGTTGGTGGATAGATGGATGGACGGATGGATGGATGGATAGGTTGTTGGGTGAGTAGATGGATAGATAGGTTGGTGGACAGATGGATAAGTTGGTGGATAGATGGATGGAGCATCCATGTTTCTTTGTTTTTTCCTGATGTTATTCACCATTGGTATGATATTAGCTGAGGGTTTGTCATATATGGTTTTCATTATTGTATTCCTTTCTGGGCTCCCCTGGACTCTGCAAATCCCAGAGGACGGCCCGTGAAGGGCTGTCTCTCGCCTCATATTGCTAATTCCTTGCCCCTTCTCCACCCTCCATTGTTCTGTCCCCCTCCTCAGCACCCATGCCTGGCACCCGCTAGGACACAGGCCACGCTCACAAGCAGTGGTGGGTCCCTGCCAAGGAGCCAGGATGACTCAAGGTGGCGGTCCGCTTTGGTGACAGCCTGGGTGGGGGTAGGTTTGCTATTGTCGTTGTTACTCTGTGTGTGTGTGTGTGTGTGTGTGTGTTTGGGTAAGTGGACGGATGGATAGATGGATAGGTTGGTGGATGGATGGATAGGTTGGTGGATGGATGGATGGGTGGATAGGTTGCTGAATGGGTGGATTGGTGGATGAATATGGAATACAAATCTAACCATTCCAGCCTTTTCCAGCCTCCCTGGATATTATATTAGCCCTCAGATCCCTGCCTTCCTGTGGCGTGTTCCAGTCC